GGTTTTGGGATCTTTGTGATTTCTAAAAGATCTCGGGCTTGGACTCTGACAAGCGACTGTCTTTCCATGCCATCAGGAAGCTGAAGAGTAAACACTTTCTAACCGTTGCGGCTAAATGCCCTTCGAAAGCCCAGATCCAGGTGTGGGGACCGGCTGGCCTCCTCCCGGAGAGCTGCAATGAGCTGCTCTCGGAGCTTGCCTGGAGCAGGCAAAACGAGCCATTTGGAACTTACTTGTGCGTGCAAACTCCACAAGCCATCAAAGGGCACACAATCCCACAATCCCCAACAAAAATCCTCGAGAGCGCAGCGTGCCAAAATTGAAAAGCGCGTGCTGGCTAGCCGGCACCAGCCCCATCTGCCGTACGAGATGTCAGACAGTTCCCGCCTGTCTCCGGCGTAACCACCTCTTCGTGCTGCCGGAGTTTTGCAGTGACTTCGTGCACCTTCCGTGCCACTGTGAGAACATCTTCGGTTTTCGAGAGAACACGAGGGGGAACTTGGGGCATTTGGGGCCTCAGAATGGATTGTGGCAAGAGCTCATGGGATTCAGGGACTGGGACTGAAGCAACTCAAATGCAAGCAACTGCAAGCTTCAAGGTGAATTCGGTATCGAACAGCGAAGCGGAGCCCAAAGATCAAGTGAATCCTAGAATCAAGGTAGCAACGTGTACAGCCGGCTTTCCTCTCCCTCACTCTCTTTGTCTGCCACGCTGCCGCCGTTCATCTCGCTCATGCATGACTTTCCCCATTACCGCTTGTCCACAGAATCATGCCTCTTTGCTGTGCTGGGCCCTAGCTTCCTCCAACTCCGCAGCCTCGGCAGTCACTGTCGGTGGGACGAGGTATCAGGCGGAGGAATCTGGATTTCTGCTCTCACGTGGTCCCTTTTTTGAGTCGCAGAGCGCCGAAAAGATTCGTGAACAATGGTTTTGCAGCTCGGGATTCGGGGTTTCCCCTGGAAGCGTGCTGGCCGAGGCCGCCACCGTGGCTACAGCCACCTCCATCTCCTTAAATTGCAACGATGGCAGATTCAGAGTGCTCTGTGGCAAGCTCAGGCCTCTCTAAGCAAAAACGCTTGCAATGCAAGAAGGCACCTGAAAGACTGCAGGTTATGACTGCTCAGGGGTTAGCAGTTTAGCATCGCGGACTATCTAGGTCGGCCCTCTGATCCTAGCTAAACAAAGCTAGCTGAAGAAAGTAAGTAGGATCCTCCTCAACCCAAAGAGGGCACACATGTCAACACCCGCAAGTCCAAATCTAAGCGGCGCGAAGCAGATCGCCAACCTCGACCTGCAACGAAGCACACCACATACGCAAGTCTGAGGTCGCTCCATGGGAGCTCAAACACGGATGTGGCAATGATAATACAATGACGAAGATTAAGCATACCTCTTGATTCTTGGGGCACGCTTACCCGCGGTCGCCACGCGTCTGCAGCCCAAGTCCTGAAGTTAACACCTGACAACTGCAACGCCGCAGTTCTTCAGTTTCTTACAAACCGCAAGATCCCGACAAAAACCTCACAACGGCGCCCATGTCGCCTCCATCTGCTCCTTGCTGCCCGAAACGATGAGCTCCTCTCAATGTGTTATTGCTAGGTAACTCTAGCGAAGGCAGAGTGCCAGCCAAGGCCCGCAGGACTCACACCGCACACAAGTGCCCTGCTAGGAACTACCACAACTCTCGGTCACGAAAGTCTCTGAACACCCCTTTCATGTCATGTGCTCGTTCACAGAAGTACAGACCTGCGCTGACTTGCGTGGACAACAACTTCAATCGAGATAAGCATGCTTCTAAATTAAATTTGCTTGCGGGAGGAAAATTTGCATGTTTGAAAGGACACAGTCCAAAGGCAGGAAAGCTACGGAGTGGGCTCGGGGACCCGAGAACGCACCACACAAGTAGATTTAGATAGCGAGTAGTGACCAGTCACCCTAAACCCTGTGCGCTGCTTAGCCTGCAGCCTACGGCGTCGATCTACGGCAAATGGGTTCGATGCGTTGCACGCTCTCAACTCACACCCCCTTCATAAAGAAAGCACCGTCAGGCCATGTGCGCTGAAATCTTAATCTTAAATAGAGAGAGCCCATGGCCGGACTGTGTCCTTGATGCGCGTATGGGTTCGGAAAGCTTGTCTGGCCCGCTCGAGCACCTCCCGCACGTGGGAGGGTGGACGGACGGTGGGCAGGGTCTCGTAACGATGTTGTCGTCTAAGCTTGAGATGCATGGATCAAGACCTAATACGATTCAGGTTGGGATCCATCATGTGAACCTCTGCGAATTCCGCCCAGGCCATATTCAGCCCAGCCAGCGGATCATTCAAACCAGGGATAACTGTCCACACGTCACATTGTACATCTCTGACGTACATCCTGGGACCCGAACCCAAGCAAGAACTTACGCCCGTGAAACCCTGGAGTCCCAAATGCACAGGGATAAGCATCAAGAGCACAGTCGGCAGAGGCAAGCAGCGACCCACAGAGCCAAAGCAAAAGTACTTTCGGGTTCCCGCAAGGCTTGATATTTTCCATGTGCAGAACGAAAGTGACCGCGTTCAACCCTCGCAAAGAGTCCAGCAAGCTTCGAGTCGAGGCACAGACACCAACTTGACGTTCAGCGCTTGCCTTGCAGTGGCTTTGGGGCTTCGGCTCTCGCAACTCGGACAATCCAGGAGAGGCGAATGGCCTGCTGATCGATGGGGCACAGGATTCAGGATTTGGGGCCGCAGGCTGCTTTCACATAATGTGCACAATGATCTCGGGTTTGGTTGTTTGATTCTTCCACGACAAAAGCCACGACGACTTAGTACGAACTTCCCAGCCCTCTCTCGTTCTGAGCACGGAAGCATAGGAGTGCGCCGAGTGCCACGAATTTCTTCTCTGACACGGAACATTGCAGGCAGGGTGCTGGATGCGATACCGGGTGAGCTGTGCATTCTTTCGCCGCGCCTCATAGAGACAGATGAGGATGTTTAAGCCAGCTAAAGCACTTTTGGACAGCAAGGCGGTCACGAAACCACTGCAACACCAAAGGCTTGAGCTCAAAAATTCGAATTTCTCATGAGAAGCTTGTGAACGTGAGCTTGAACCTGGCAGCCTCGAGCATGCGAGCAAAGGCTTAATTAGTTAAAATTCCTCAGAAAAAATCCACACAGCCGCACAGATTTGCTTGGGGTTCTGTACGCCTCAGCTCCCACCCAAACTTGCCGAGTTGCTTCGCTTTGCTCTTCATAATGATTCTGAGCCATGTCATTTTGTCGCGGCCATATTGTATCTAGGTTTTGTTCACCCCAGACAGAGGCTCAAACTCTGGTAGCCGTAGCCCCCTAAAGACTCAAAAGAAAGGACTCTTAAGATTTCCCGAGGGGTGGGAGCTAGCCAGCAACTGCACAAGACCCCACATGCAAAGCCTTACAAAACCCTTACAGTAACTGTCGCAACCCTGACCTGAAAGAGCCCTTCTAGTAGCCTTCAAAGACCCTTGTAGATGACATTCATTCTCTATCTATCTATCTGTATGTATGTGTACATACATATATTCAACAAACAAATATCTACGTATGTATATATGTATGTATGTATGCATGCATGCACCATATACATAAATACATGAGTACATATATACATGCCATACCATCCCATACCATACCAACCATACCATACCATACCACACCATACCATACCATACCATACCATTACATACATACCATGCAGACATCCTTGCATACATACAGACAGGGCACTCGCACGCGACGGGGTCAGGCGAGGTATATATACATACATACATACATACATACATACATACATACAGACAGACAGACAGACAGACAGACAGACAGACAGACAGATATATATATATATGTATATATGTATCCATATACACGAATATGTCTCTCTCTCTCTCTCTCTTTATATATATATATATACTATATATACATATACATATGTATGTATACATATTTATCTGTTCATGACACTAAGTGACCCTCTGAAGGAGCCCCTCGTTGAAAGCAAAAGCCCCTGATCTACGCTTGGAGGCCTCGTAGAGCCCGGAGATCCTGGGAGCTGAGCTGCTTTTCGTATATATCATATGTTATATCTACGAGCATAGTGTTAAAAAATCTTACATTGCAGTATATTCTACTTTCTGTAACCAGTTATAATATAGAGGTGCCATCCCACGGGTCTGGCTTTTGGGGGGTTTGTTTCTGGTCTTGGATGCTCGACCGCATGTGGAAAGGTCGGGAAGGTGAGGGCTTGCGGGGCAAAGGAGCGAACAGGATCACTCGTGTCCGGAGAAGGCTGCTGTTCACTCTGAAAAACTCCTTTCCGCTCCTTCTGCTGCTTATGATTGCGCCGGACCGGAAGCAACGTTCCGATCAGACAGCAGAGAGCCCGATGACCAGAACGCTCAACACCAGCAGCAGAATTCCGAGCTTGTACTCCCATTCCCCAAGCCTAAAAGATTTGCGGTTCAGAGTCCTCTTCGCATCAGGACTTGTGCAATCGCCCGAAGCACCCTAGATCCCATTACCTCAAATCCCCTGAAGCCCTCAATCCAAAAACATCTAAAAGCCATAAATGACATAAATCGCGCGTGCCGAGGCTCAGGTTCGCGCGGAGCGTGTCGGTCTCGTGATCCGCCTCTTCAGCTGCCGGTCAGATCACGGGTTTGGGCTCAAGGCCTGTAGGGCTCCTGGTGTAGGGCTTCCGCCAAATCTCGAGCTGATCATTTAAACCGCGACAAAACAAGCGAAAACATGGTAGGGAGTTGAGCTTGTGTAGAGTTAAGGGTATAAAAGTGTTTCAATGCTAAACGTGGGAGAAGACATCTTCTAAAACCTTCCGTTGAGCAAGTATCCACAGTCGCTCACGGTAGGAAAAAAACAGAAAGTCAACAAACTGCCATCTCTGATCTGCAGATAACTGGCAGCCATCTGCTGCTGGGATGCCCAGCGACCCGCAAGTTACGAATCAGGAAATCCCCATCCAAGAAGGCCTTTGCACGCCGAGCCCGCAGTGAGAGCTCGAGGCTGCGCACCCGGCTGACCTGAAGCTTTGGCTTCGAGGCTCCGCCCTGAAGCCATGGGGACATTCGCCGATAGGGAATGCTAGGAGAGCTGTCTTGACAAGGGACAGTTGCAAGCGAATACGGGGCGCTGATGGATAGGATTCATTACTATGGTGCTCAGCGCGTCTAGATTCTGGTCAGAACTGGTATGGCAACATGTCAGGATTTAAAGGTATAGAAACCGGATTGTATTGTCCACGTCTTCGTAGACATAGGCCTATGCACGCACTCCTCCTCTCAGTATGTGAAGCCCAAACCCAAAACCCTTCAAGCCTAAATGAAGCCCAGCAGCCACATTCTCCAGCTCCTTCTTGGCTGTCGCGATGCTTTGGGAGAACCTCCCGTGAAGGCGAGTGCCAGGTTTCTGGTCATTCAAGTCAACTACCTTGGTTTTAGGATTCAAGGCCTTATGCAGGTTTTGGGTAAGAGGGTGCGCGCATTTCTCGACCCTGCACGAACTGATCAAATCTCAATATTTTAAATACCCAGGTTTTGAGAAGGCGGCGTTTATGTTAGACCCCGTGCAACAGAAAGAGGCAGCCCAGGTACGAATCGAACTCCGACTCCAATTTGCTGACAGTCTCGGCCAGAGAAACCTGATCTTACAAGGATCTCTGCTGGCGTATCCCGCAGAAACGAAAACTGAATGCTGCTGCTCTTTAAACGGAAACATTGCATTCTCACACGATCTCTTGTGCGTTGTCGTTCTTCTGTAGCAGCTTCTGCGAATTAATCGTTCTGTAGGTTAGCTTGCATGCCAAGCGACACCGGTTTCAAGAACACGCGCTGTTTCTGATTCTAGAGGCACTTAATCCTTGTATGCCAAGTGCTCCAAAACCCTGCCGGCAAGAAGCCGCAACGGCTGCGTCCTGCCGCAGGGATAACGGGCAAGAAGAGGCTGTCATATCCTGATCCCTTCATGCCTTTATGCATCACCAGATGAGGTCCATGGTACTGGTAGCCATCAACACGAGTAGCCCTGGCAGTCCTAAGCAACAAGCACTGAAACCAAGTAAAGACCCAAAAGAAACCCAGTGGCACCCTCAGAAGAGGCTCCACTCGAACCTCTCACACCATCAGTAACAGGCGTGACGTACGCTTCGCTTGATCTGAAAAGGGACCCTACTTTCGACGACGAGCCATGTCCAGTGTGTGCGACCATTTGCCAACCCACCACCCTGTACTCCCTCTAACTGACATGTTGAGCTACAGTCCTGTCAGGTCTTGAGCACCTGAGTCACTAAGTCGTAGTTTTGGGTCTCCGCTCTGTTCAGCATAATGCGGGTGATCCTAGAATAAGGAAACCAGCCCCTCCGTGACGTGACTTCCCAGCTCCCGAACTCTCTACGTCTCCTCGGCAACCATCTCATCCTTCGCAATCATCTCGTATACTTCAGAAGAGATCTCCATGACCTGACGTCGGCATGGTAGGGCTTCGGGCATTGGGGCAATCTCTAGGCAAGATGAAACACAAGAAGCTTCGTTCCCCTTCTTTTCCGAACTCGGTTTGTCCGATATCTCCGGAAGAGTCTGGCCAGAGTCGGCACTGATATCAAAATTCGCCCGGAGCTGCCCACGAGCTGCCGACCCGGGCCTAACCTCTGAGATGTGATATCCACTGTTTTCCAACTGGAGCTTCGTGACTAAAAACGAGGACCTGCTTCCCCGACTGCTTCTTAGGGCCGATACACATGTAACATCGAATGCTTTATAAACTGCGAGTAAGGGTCTAGAGTTTTGAGAAATTGAATCAGCTGGTCTGGCTGCACTTGAGGTAAAAAACCGCATGAGCCGCACCTTCTCGCTCTTTTGGATGGTTACCCGCTGACGCTTCAGAGCACCGATGTCCAGGTAGTTCCTTGTCAAGTCTACTCACTGTTGCTTTGCAGTCGAGTTGGGTCAGGGGCCAGGGGCCTGAGGTGCAGTCCGCCGCTGATTCCGATAAATTTCCCAAAGCGGCGCAGCATGTTGGTTTTGCAGCATTCAGTGCGCCTCCTCCTGCTACTTCTACTGCTGCTCCTGCTACGACTACGAGTACTGGTACTAGAACTACTATTATTCTTATTATTACTACTGCTGAGCATCCCCACCACTCCTGCACCTCTACTTTCTTGCAAGACCGAACAGGGTATCTTCTTCGAGGTTTAGGGACTACTTTGGTTGGCTACAGGCCGAGTTGCTGGATCTGCTGACTCCGCAATTCTGCCGTCTGACCTTGTGAGATCTGGCATCAGAGAAAACTGTACTTGAGGGTCAGGCACTCACGAGGTAGCGGCTTCTCATCAACACCAGCCAGCACGAACTCCAAACGAATCCCTCGCGATTCCGTTACCGTAACCGCATCCGGCAATGCCAAGCCGCACAATGTAAAGTGCAAAACTTTGGTATAGCGGCACATGCGAAGTACAGAGCCATTCAAAGCTCAACCGGGCTGTGAGCTGCAAACCCTCAATCTCTCTGTCTGCGGGTGTGGGACGGTCCAATTCCTCGATCTGGTGCAAGGTCTCCGCCATTTGGCCTCAGTTGGGCACTGTGGTCGTCGGGGGCCCAAATCTCGCATGATCCTAAGCCGAGGGCCTAGAAGGGCTCAGGCAGTGCTTGCATTTGCTCAGCACTTCTAGTGGCCCCCTCGGTCGGAAACATCTCGTTCATTGATCACACTAGGACACTCCCGGCGATAGCGACTCGGAGAGAAAATTGTGAAGGACGCTACGTCCCCATGCACATATCAACCTGCCAAAGAGCTTCCTCTCTCTCGTGTCAACATTCAGCATCTTGCAAAACCCTAGTTCAAGACCTCGGCAGACCTGCATCTTGCAATATCCTTGTTCAGGGCCTCGACAGACCTCAACAAAGGCGGTTTAGGGCATTTGTGCTCTCGCGACTCCTGCACGCTCGGACACTTTGGCTTATGGCCCCAAGAGCCACACCCACCCTGAACTGTCGAATCACCAAGGAAGAATGGGAAAAGCTTAGTCGCTTCCATCCTCGCCAGCGCGCACTTCCTTCCACAAGCAGGCCGACAAGTTAATTCGGCTGCATGCGGCAAGCCATGAAAGTTGAAAGGGTGAGTTTGGGCGTGCGCTTGAAAGTGTTTCAGCCTTCAGGCAGTAGTTCAGGAGGGCTGTTACAACTTACATGCGCAATGCGATGTTTAAGCAGGCAGTAACACTTTGGATTTCTAGTCCCGATTGGCTTTGGGACACTCCGATGATTCCAGCCGCTGTACTTCCACTCCAAACGGTTCAGAAACATGTGCCGAGTTGCTGCAATGAAGTTGGCACTGCCGGCGATCAGCTTCGATCTGGACGAGTCCAGCTCATCCACCTGCAGGCTTGGGCTGTAGGATTTGGGATCTGCTTTCGCCGTCTCGGTCTGGGAACCACTAGCGCAATGGGGAGCCGGAGTCTGTGAGGCTACGTTTGCCGCGTTCTGTTCTGGTTACCCTCTTCCGGGATTTGTCTTGCACTCGAATTCTTGAGTCCATGTCGCCAATGTTAGGGGCTTCAAAGCTGTAGTGGTTTTTTCTGTCGTTGTCCAGCACATTAGGATGCAAGGCTCCAGCTATTGTAAGAGCACTCAACGTTTATCATCCAGGGAGGTTCAGGGTTGGGGTTTCGGGGTTTGTCCTTTCATGCTCGGACTTGCCAAATGGGGGTTTCCGAAAATAGGGGACCCTCATATAGTACCCTTAATAGTCCCCTAATTTTCGGAAAGTCCCAAATGGGGTCAACGACGAGCAGGTCCCAGAGCTTTTCTTGAACCCAACCTATCCCGGTGGAACTGCGCGCTCTCGGGCCGACCTCTTGGTTCCGACATCCCTGTCTTCAGCCAGTGCATCGCTTCAACACATCGACTACAGACGGATTCGGCAAGTTTGGTTCAGGGTACCCCCACAACAGCACCGTGGCTACAAGGAGCAAATCGTTGCAGAAGGCACTTCGAGAGGTCAAGTACTGTCTGTGCACAGGCCTCCCTCTGGTTTGCATCAGAAAACCATCTTGAACCAACAGCCCGGAAAATCACAACAACTCACGTCTTTTTCAACCCTTTTCCGAACCCTATGATTTTACACCCTGTTCGCGAAGCCCGTCCTTGGCAATCACGGTGTCGTTTTCGGAACGCAACCGATCCACCTCCTCGGAAATCTTCTCATACCTCGGCTATTTCTTGGGTGCTGGCCGTAGAGACAAGGGCTCCGTTGTTGCTTCCGTGTTTTTGGGGTTTGGGAGCGGCGGGCTCGGCTTTGAAAGCTAGGGTTCCTAGGCCGGGGGTCTTGCAGCTGGGCCTCAGAGCCTCACTGGACATCCCTAAACTGTACCTATCGAAGTCAGTGCCCAGACACAGGGTGCCATTTTGATGAATTGGTCGGCCACTGGCCACGGCGGCCTCTACTGTGGCCACCAGAACCTCCAGTTGATTCAGGGATTTGTGGGATTTCGGGTTAAACACGTGAAGGTATTAATGACAAAAACCCTGGTCAGTGACGAAGATACCTTCTTGCTCATGGAGACCATATACAAACCAAAAGAGTCAGCACAGTAAGAGTGATCATATCAAAGTGAAAACAAAAGCGCATGCGCGACACCTCACTGGGAACAGGCTCTCCTCTTGAGTAGTTAAAGCTAGTGTTCAAGTCTTGGGGGCTCTGGGCCGAGGCTTCTGAAGGCTGTGTAAATAGTAATACCGAGGCCTCAGCTATGACCGAAAAGTCAAAAGGATCGGCAGCCGAATCGGAATTCCGTGAGAATTCGTTGCAACCATGAGGAGCCCGTCGCAACCCCAATCAATGGACATCCTATGTAAGGACCCTAAGCTCCTAAACTCCTAATGAAACCCATCGAGGGCCAAAAGCCCCAGGCCTGGGCGGAGCTGCCAAAGGCCCGAGGCTGTGCCGCAAGCTGCACGCCGACGAGGCGCGGGAGCTGAGCGCCTCGAAGTGATTGGGGTTTCGCTTGACGGCTCTTGCAGGGACTCCTAGCAGTAGCAAGTGCTGTACAAGGGAACATGAAGGGAAGGGGCTTGAGGTTTCTATAATCTATGTAGCATTGAATGTTTCAGTGAGTAAGGTCTCAAGGAATGGAATCTAAGACAGTCTTGCTCCAGAGCCTTCCGGACGAATTATGGCTATGGAGCAAAATATAAACACACTGCACACCCCTGAGCCTTGCATGCTTAGATCAGAGGACTGAGCGTGCAAGGTTTAGTGCCGCAGCTTGGGAAATACATAATTCACGGGAACGTCGAAGTACCGATACTTTACTTGCAATTACTGAATCCGGATGATCGTTACAACGAGGATGATTGCTTTTGAAACCCCGCTACAAGCCAACAGTCTCCATGTCGCCGAGCAGCGTGCGCACCGGGAAAAGTACGGGAGCCTTGTCTCTTGTGAGAGATTCAGGTCGAGCAATCGTTCACAGTCTTTGCCGGATTTTCTAGCTTTCCAATACTACAGCTGATGCACAAAGCCGCGATAAGATTATGATGACATTCCCACCTCAGTGATTGAACTCCAGCTGCTCTGGCTCTCTGACTCTCCTTAAAGATCATGGAACCTCATCTGAGGAGTTGTGGCTCCAGTTTTGCGGTACCTCTTTTCATATTGGGAATCCTCTTACGGCCACTGTGTTGAAAATGGCTTATTCCCATTGCAGAAAGTATCAGTGCCAGGGCTCGGGTTTGAGCTTGAAGAACCTTGTGAAACCGAAACCTGCACTGCTGTTGAGCCTGAGGCTGTGGATTTACCATGCGTGACCCCTGCCATACTTTGCCGTGGTCAGGCAAGAGGCAGAGACATTGCGCTGGAGCACTATGCCGAGGCTGCAGACTCGCCGGTTGCCTACAACTTGTTGGTTCTACCCCTTCTCATCATTGCCAAAACTGTTGCTCGTTGACGGGGCTACATTGAACACGAAAAGCCGGAAGCTGCGGCCTTCTTGCGAGTTAACAGTGTTAGTGATTGCTGGTGGGAGTGCTCATCAGCTGTTCGCCTGCTAGCCCACATGCGTCGTTGCATATGTGTTCGTTTACTGCTCTGCCATAGGCTTGACAGGGAAATCAAGCAGCGGCGCGATGATCACATGATCAACCTAACTGCCAACGCAAAGTGATCAATGATGAGTACCCTCTGAACAAACAAGCTTCAGAGTAAACAAACGTGGCATGCGGCAAAGCAAGCATGCGCATGATGCAGCAACATAACAACACATGAACTAACAGGCCGCGCCAAGGGGGTAACCGCTGTCATAAGCTAGCCGCGTATATCGTAGTACATCGTCAAGACTCAGACTTGGGCATGCATGTGACTAGCGAAATTCCACCCGTCACTGGCCATTCTGAAAAAGCATTGTGAATCAACACTGAACGCCAATATCAGCTTAGAATGGCACTGGTTGAGCCCAAGCCAGACTAGCGACGCAGTAACAGCGCCGCAGTAACAGAGTCTGAGCATTGAAAGAGTTCACCAGGCATGGTATTATTCGGAAATACCAGGACCTACGGAGATGTGTTCTTTCGGACCTCGCCTTGCAGCCCTCATGATGACTAATTAAACTCTCTGTCGTTAGCAAGGTTGAAGTTGCCGTCACACTCGGACATTCCAGGAGACTTCTGATCCGCCAGCATGTTTACGACAAGAACCCGGAAGGGTATGATGCAGAGTTGACCAGTCATCTCCAGTCCGCATCCATTAAGACTCCGAATTGACTGACGCTGAAGACTTGGTTGCGATTGCGCCTGCTGAGACAAGCATGATAGGTCTTAGATGACGGGCTGCTGCAGCTCCCAACCTGCGCCCGGAACTCGTCTTCCCGGCTCTGCAGCCGCTCCTCCAGACGCCTTTCGGGACGGTGCTCAACAGCACCTAAAACTGGATCCGCATGCTGTTGCAAGCAGCGATTCTGAAACGGTCCCGGGTCCTGATTCAGCTCTGAAAGGTATCATGACTGTGGGCTTCGGGCCCTACGTCATAATCGCGTCTTGAACGCGGACCCCCGGCCTGGAGACCTGGTCTCTCTCGTCCTCAGCACTACGGGGCCATGCGGGATCAAGGGGTATAGGGTTATTACTCAGCGTTCAAGGGTGCAGGGATCACGTTGCTGACCCATCGCAGTTGTAAGAGAAATTACTCGACTACGAACAAAAGTAAATGGTGGCCATCCAGCGGTCATCACGGTGGGCACCATCATCGCCAGAAGCATGGTGAATTGGTTGCACAATCTCTTTCGAACTACTGATGCCGGCCATAGTCAGAATCGGCAGGCGTGCTAGAAAAGGGGGCAGTGCTGTACATTTTCAGAGCTCAGAGGAGATGGTACACCGAGTCGCAGGTCTACGAAAGGTCACGCAACGTAGCTCGTTGTTGAATTGCCAAAGTGCGCGCCATGCGTGCCTCAACCTGCCAAATCACGAGGAACTTTCTCGGCAAGATGGACATAGAAGACGAAACCAAGCAACCTTATTGTACATGATGGCTCTCGGAGCACAACAGAAAAGCCATACAATTCCACCAAAACCAGAACCTGAATGGAGAACCATCTATTCCTCATCCCGAATAGTCGACCTGAGCCCTGAATCTGAACCAACGCGTCCTGGAGCTGGCTTACCTTCTCGGCCGCCTGCGGATTCAGGGGTCTAGGCTGTCCCAAAAAATCGAGGTAATCAATGCTGACAAGTATCAACACTCGGTATTGCGGAAAGCCATCGGATCAGGATTCACCCGAAGCCACCAGAACCCTCTGCCAAAAGCTTCGTTCCCTTCTTGCGCCAGACCAACGCGAACCGTTCTAGCTTTGTTGATGGTACCACCAACAACGTAATCGTAGGGTTGCGGAGTCATTTCGGAGTTAGGGTCGCCCGGGTCATTACGATCACCAGGACCATCGACACCAACACCATTCTCCTCCTACACCACCTCCTCATAATGATTAGCAGCAACAGCAGCAGCAGCCGCCGCCGCCACGGCTATCATCATCATCAACAACATCAACATCAACAGCATCATCATCATCATCATCAGCAGTATCATCATCATCATCATTACAATCATCGCCCACAGCCTGCGCATGAACGTCAATTGGTGATGTGCTTGACACCGTTGGGCAAATTGTCTCGCTGATCTTCTCGCAACTGCGGCTAGCTGCCTTCATGTCCCTGCTTGCTCAATCCTGCGTATGTCTTAAGCTCCCCTTTTGAGTCCCGTAACGCAAAGCACGGATGCTTGGAGTCGGAAGGGCTTATTGGGCTTACCGATATTGATTTAGAATTTCGGGTCTCGGGCAAGGTGGCTCCCGAATCGTCCTAGGCCCCCTGGAACGTAGTGTTGCTAGCGTCTTTGAAGCTTCAAATTGCTTCAGCAGGGTCCTTTCGGCCTTCGAAGATTACACAGGGGGCGATGATCCCGGTATTTTCCCGCAAGGGCACGAGGCCCTCGGATTTTGAGCTTCTTGGCTTCTCTGTGCCTCCTTCTCCTTGGCGACGAGACCTGGCTGTTACTCAGGTGGCTCTCGGCACGGGGGAATGCTAACCTGGCTTCTTGTTAGAGGATCTGATTTAAGTTACCATATAAAATCAAGCACATAGATCCCCCAATTTTTAATTACGGTAGAACCCAGTAACAGTCGTGCAGGTGATGTTCGGGGGCCTCGAGCGGCCAACCTAGGTTCTCGCACTTCATGGCATTCCACCCCTCCGCCTAAAGTCCTAATTCCTAAAGCATAAAGGTTTCAACTAGGGTGACCTTGCTTTGGAGTCTCCGACCCGAAGCTGCGACCACTCTGAGTCGGAGTTTGTTGGCTCTCGCTCTGGGAAGCTTGCAAACAGACTAAACTAGAAGCACCAGCAGCAAGAGAGTCAGCATCAAAATCACGACCTCCACTACCCGCTAACACTGACAGTCAATGCGCGACCAGATGTGCAATTCATCATGGTGGCAATGACGTGTCGGGAAATATAACCGTTACACAACCCTTCTCTCCTCTGAGTCGCGCCTGCTTCTTGCTGCTGCAGCCTGGCAACAGACACCACCGAATCAAACGGAAGGAAAAGGAGATGGTCTCTGTTCAGCGGCTCCACATGATAACAAATCCTGCTATGTAACGTGGTGTTCATACTGGCGCCCAATGCTTCGTGAGACTTCCACCTGGTAATACACGACCTAAACTGGACTGGACCTGAACCATGATACGCGCTTGCAGCGAAAATCAGCGCTCGTTGTTCTTGGGGTAGTTAACCTCCCATACTTTGATCATCGCCTTGGGGTACATATCATAACGCACTTGACCTCAACCCTGGGCCGACACGTGAGTTTCAGGTCTCCGATGCCTCTCCGTCAAGTTGGAGATCTGTTCGTCATGCACCGCTTTCTCATGCAACGCCTCCTGGTCATGCTCTTGCGAATACTGATGACA